TTTTTTTATTAGTAGAGACAGGGTCTCGCTCTTGCTCAGGCTGGTCTCGAACTCCGAGCTCAAATGATCCGCCCATCTTGACCTCCCAGAGTGCTAGGATTACAGGCTTGAGCCACCATGCCCAGCCGATACCATTTGTCCTAAACTCCTTAGTATTGACCCACAATCCCTTATCTGAAACCCTCGGGGCCAGCTGTGTTCCAGAATTCACAACTTTTCAGAATTTAGAAAGGTAATGGCATTTATATCGTATATTACACTACTATACCTGAGAAGGTTTGAGGATCACGCATTATGATTAAATACATTAATACTTTTGCAGCAAAATGTAGAGATATGCCTAGTAAGCATGATAAATAAAAACTATAAATACCCTCATGCCAGCTGCAGTCATTTTGCCATCAAATGAGTATACCAACAAAAAAAAAGAACCCTCTGGTTTTAGAGATTTCAGGATTTGGAATCATAGGTAAAGAGATTAAAGACATGTAATATGTTATACATAGAATATGCACATCCCCATGCCCACCACACCTCCAACATCAAAAGCTGATTTTTGAAGTCCTTAATTAGAAAAAGGAATACCATTTTGTATCAACACCTTAAAATAATAGAGATTACCCATTCTTGAAAACTTACCTGAATTCATCCTACTATTCAGGATGAGCGATCATACAAAAAGACATTGGTTAAACAGTTGCTACCAAGAGCACAGGTTCCGGAAGCCTTTGCAAACCGGCCAATGGTATGATGACAGTTGGATTGTTTTGTCAGATGTCACCACAGTACTCAGAAAAGGTGAAAAGGTTGGGGGAATACTATTTGAAGGCTATCATAGCATAAAAGGTGAACAGTACACCTTTGAAACACTATAAAAACCACACACATCAAAATGAACAGGAAAGCAAAGTGCAGAGTCAAGAGCTGGATATCAATTATTGCTCTTCTACTTCCTAGCTGTGACCTCAGTGTCTCAATCCCTTCATCAGAGAAAAGGGAAAAATACTAGTACCTATGTCAATGAGTTACTGTAAGAATGAAATCAGTTAATGGATACACAATATTTAGAACACGTACAGCACAAATGTTAGCTATTATCATTATTATTCGCATTGTCCTAGGTTTCCTTACAGTTATTACAAATGTCACAGGAATTATTTATGATGGAGCCTTCATTTCTAGTTTCTCATGTGTTTTATTTTTACCTTAAAATTTCAGGCAAGGATAAATAAAAGAGAAATGTAAGAAGTGAATTTATTACCAAGGAAAAGAGTCTCTAATGTATTTGACAAGCTGTAGAGTATAAATAAGATTCTACAATGAGAAGAGCCTCAGTTAATTCCTTCTCCCTTTTACACCAACATCTAAATATGCCCAAATGCTAAACATGCAACTAACTAGTGGTCAATGGATACTTTCACCAATCTACTCAAACAACTAAATGTTTCAGGAATAAGAGTTAAAGTTCCAAATTCCATATACAGGTTGAATATCCCTTATCAAAAATGCTTAGAATGAGAAGTGTTTCAGATTCTGGATTTCTTTTCTTTGGATTCTGAAATATCTACACTATACTTACCAGGTGAGTATCCCTAATCCAAAAAACCCAAATTTGAAATGCTTTAATGAGCATTTCCTTTGAGTATCACGTAGATTTTGGAGCATTTTGGATTTCTGATTTTCAGATCAGGGATACTCAACCTGTATTAGGAATAGAAATTGTTTTAACTGATCTGTTCTTAATTTAGAGATAATTCTGAATAATCTAAGATGATAGTTTCTTTTCTGGTTTACTAATAGAAATCTCAAAAGCAAATGTTCTCACTAGAAAGTAGTCCAGAATCAGAAAATAAATGAATTTTGCTCATTAATTTTACTATGATTATATCTCTTCTTCTCTGTTTTCCAGCCATCTTAAATTAAGGACAAAAAGTTTTACTTATTATGAGTACTTAAGAAGCCATCTTTTTTTTTTTTTTTCAGCATATTATGGGGGTACAGATATTTAGGTTACGTATGTTGCCCTTGCCCCCCCTCCCCTCCAAGTCCAAGTTTCAAGCATGTCCATCTCTCGGATGGTGCGCATTACACTCTTTGTGTATGCATATTCCCGTCCCCTCCTCCCCCTCCCCCCTGCCCAACATCCAATAGATGTTATTCTTATATGTACACTTATGTGTTGATCAGTTAATACCAATTTGATGGTGAGTACATATGGTGCTTGTTTTTCCATTCTTGGGATACTTCACTTAGTAGAATGCATTCCAGCTCTGTTCAGGAGTATACAAGAGGTGCTATGTCACCATTGTTTCTTAAACCTGAATAGTACTCCACGGTATACATATACCACATTTTATTAATCCACTCATGTATTGATGGACACTTGAGTTGTTTCCACATCTTTGCAATTGTGAATTGTGCTGCTATAAATATTCGGGTGCAGGTGTCTTTCTTATAGAGTATCATTTGTTCTTTTGGGTAGATGCCCAGTAATGGGATTGCTGGAAAGAAGCCATCTTTAAGTCAATTTTTTTTTTTTTAAAGGGCAGCATTACTCAAGAAATTAAATTTTAAAAATAACATTCATATGTTAGTTCTAATGTTTACAAAAGCTCTCATGATAACTTTTGGTAAACATCCCCCAACCCCAAGCTTGGGTATAAACAAACAATTAAGATTTATCTACAAGTCCATTTGTTTTAATGTAATTATTGAACTGCTTCTTTACATGTTTCTATTTTTGGATACCTTTCCATAATACACAAACAGGAAATAACATAGGCTCTAAAAATCAAAAGATCAGGGTTCAACCCAATCCCAACACACATGCTAATAATCTTAAATAAGTCATAAGATGTTTGTTTCAGAAGACTTATCTGAAATAGTTAATACATAAAGACCAAACAGGAAATAATTTATGAATCTTGTAGCTGAGTTCATTAAAAAACAGAATTACAAAGGAAATCTTTCTTAGGCATTCCTTCTATGATAGAGGTTGCTTTTGGAAAATATAAAATCTTCTGAGAGCTATTCAACTCACAGTATATTTTTCTACCAAGTAAGACGCTAAGAACAAAAAATTGGTCTACTGAAAGATAGGTTAAAAGAACCATTCATTACTAACTTATACTAACAAATTAATTTGTTCAAGCTCTTTCAGAAATATATTTTATGTCAAAATGTGGTGTTACGTATACTACAGAATACTACTCAGCCATGAAGAAGGATGAATGAAGGCCCTTTGCAACAATCTGGATGAAACTGGAGACCATTTAGGCTTTATGCTACAAAAAATGTTATTTAATTCATGATATAAAATATATATATACCTTTTTTATTTCAAAACATTATGGGGGTACAAATGTTTTGGTTACACGGATGGTCTTTGTACTGCTTGAGTCAAAACTGTAAGTGTGCCCATCACCCAGACAGTGTACACTGTACCCATTAAGTATGATTTCATCCATCCCCTCACTTCCCCACTCCCACTTGCATGATTTCTGTTGAGTTTTACTTTCATCTGTGCACATGGGTGCTGATCAGTTAGTTCCAATTTAATAGTGAGTAGATATGTTTGTTTTTCCATTCTTGTGATACTTCACTTTGGAAGGTGGTCTCCAGTTCCATCCAGATTGTTGCAAAAGGTATTAATTCATTTTTTTATGACTGAGTAGTACTCCATGGTATACATATACCGCATTTTATTGATCCACTCATGAAGTGATGGGCACTTGGGTTGATTCCACATCTTTGTAATTACGAATTGTACTGTAATAAACATTCTGTTGCAAGTGTCTTTTTGATAAAATGACTTTTTTTCCTTTGAGTAAATATCCAGTAGTGGGATTGCTGAATCAAATGGTAGGTCTACTTTTAGTTCTGTGAGGAATCTCCACACTATTTTCCACAGAGATTACATTAGTTTGCCATCCCACCAACAGTGTATAAGTGTTCCTTTCTCTCCACATCCACTGTTTTGGGACTTTTTGATAAAAGCCATTCTCACTGGGGTTAAGTGATTTCTTATTGTGGTTCTGATTTGCATTTCTCTGATGATTACTGACGTTGAGCATTTTTTCATGTTTACTGGCCACTAGTCTATCTTTTTTGCCCATTTTTTAATGGGGTTGTTTGATTTTTTCTTGCCGATTTCCTTGAGTTCTTTGTAGATTCTGGTTATTAGCACCTTATCAAATATATAACATGCGAATATTTTCTCCCATTCTGTAGGTTATCTATTTGCTTTGTTGACTGTTTCCTTGGCTGTGCAGAAGCCTTTTAATTTAATCAAGTCCCATTTATTTATTTTTGTTGTTGCTGTGATTGCCTTTGAGGTCTTCTTTGTAAATTCTTTGCCTAGGTCAATGTATAGAAGAGTTTTTCCTACACTTTCTTCTAGAATTCTTATGGTTTCATGTCTTAGATTTAAGTCTGTTATCCATCTTGAATTAATTTTTGTGAGTGGTGAGAGATATGGATCCTGTTTCAGTTTTCTTCATGTGGCTATCCAATTTTCCCAGCACCATTTATTGAATAGGGATTCTTTTCCCCCATGTATATTGCTGTCTCCTTTGGCAACTCTGTAGAATCCCTATTGACAGACATTGTAATTTTTAAGATCCTATCACAGAAAAGATGATTAAGAAAGACTGAACAATAAGGGAAGTGTAGACATAGATAAATATAACTTAATTTAGTTTTCATTTAAACAAGGTGTCATAAATAGGCACGCTTACCAGTGTCATTGGCAGGCTCAGATGTGAGTGGTTTGGGAGCTGGTGTATTTTTGGGTCTGGCAGCAACCTGAGACGGAGATGAAGGTGTGTTGTCTCCATTAACTACATATGAACAGCATGAGTTTTGGACTAGTGTGTTTGTAGGTACATGATTATCTATTCCATTAGTACCTTCGACAGCCAACCTTTAAAAAAAAATGCCTTATTTCAATGAGTCAAGAACACAATTAAATAACTTCTCACTAGAATTTTTATAAGAAATGTTTACTGAGTTCTTAACATTCAATTAAAATGAGAGATACAAAGAGTAATAAAGATATGGCATGCTCTTATTGCGTTAAAGTTTAAATTACTTTCAGTGCTGTGTATCCATACTGGCAGATAAAAAAACTGAAACATGCATGTGTACTAAGTCAAAATAAATACAGACCCTCAAAATAATATTCAAATTGTACATTTTAAATATTTAAGTCTAAGGATATTAGTCTGTTTTAAATACTCTGAAAATAGTTTTAAAAAACTCACGAAATTATATGAAACTTATAAAAATCAATTCCAAACTACTGTAATTTTATAAATACTAAAAAGTAGGCAGAAAAAGCTGAAGATACGGATTATAAATTATTATGTACTAGCCACTAAAATGATGATTACATGATGATCAGAAAAAACTAAATATTATTCCCCAGAATTATAAGAATTTATAGTATATAAATTAATTGCAAATAAATAAACAAAAATTATAACTATAAAATCAAACATTTTAAGTCTTATTGGTAGTGGGCAGTAGTTAGACAATATCATGCAAGAGACCAAGAGAGCTTTTCCAAATACACAGGTCATCCTATACCTGTTCTCCACACAGCAACCTGAGTGTTATTTTAAAAATATAAATCAGATCATGCCCTCCCCTGCTTAGTCAACTAAACTTTTGGAAATCAGCCCCACTTCTACTCCATCTCTCTCTGATCTATTTCTCTCCAAGCTCCTTCTTACTCACCTTGCAGTAGACATACTACATCAATTTTACTGAATATGAAAAACATGCTGAAAGGTCTTCATATATTTATTACAAATTATTATATACCAGGTGGTAAAGTTATAGTGACTACAAGATTATCATAAAAGGTTAAATATTATACTGTGGAATTAGAAGAATTTGTAGAACAAAATTGACTATAAATAAACTCAGGGTCTTTGAAGTTGCTATTTCTTCTGCCTGGAATGCTCTTCCTTCAGAACTCTGCATGTATGGTTCATTCTTGGCTTTTTAATTTTAGCTCAAATGGCACTTTCTCAGAGATGAACCCCTGCTATCTCTCTTTAAAAGAGGCTCCCTTCCATTCCCCTCACCTTGTCCTATTTTAAGGACTTCACAGTTCTTGCCACTATATCCAATTAGCTTGCTTATTGCTTCTGTTGTTTACTATCTACCTTTATCCCACCAGAATGTAAATTTCATGGGAACAGGGATTTGTTTGGACTAGCATCTGGCACCAAACAAGTACTCAATATTTATCTGTTGAATAAACAAATAATTAATGAATTCCACCCTCCTTTCCTTTGTCACCTATATTTTTGGAATGAGATGTGTTTAGGAAGTTTGGGCAGATAAAGTTTGTAAAAAGCTCCCATATGACTATGATTTGTACACCCCTCCCCAGCCACCCAGCAAGAATTACTGATTCAGGAGTCCAGGAAAAAGAACCCATCTGAAGCTTTCCTGGTTCTGTAGAACTAATCTTTAATGCAAAATATGTTACCATGCAACAAACAATATTAGGTTTCAGACTGGTAGTAATTCAAGCTCCTTTACCCACCTAAAATAAAATTGTACTTTAAAAATTGTATGGGCACTAAATATATTTATTTAAGCCAAATATATGTTCAGAAGGCATACTTTATCTGTTCAAGTATTCTGATGAGACTCATTTAATGGCAATTTAGGAGTAATGATATTAATAACTTTACAGATTAATAAAGATCACACTTTATCATATACCAGTATGCTTTTTCAAATGTAACAAATCAATCTTACAATACATTTTACATGTTAATTTCACTATATTCGATCTATTATACATTTTTATTCCAATTTCAATTATTTCAAATAGAGAGAGCCTCTATTAATTGTCATGAAATGTGAATGCCAGGGAGGTTTTGAAATGGCAGGATGGTTTTTCAGAAGCATTTATCTTCTTGTCATCTACAGAAGAATGCCAATTCAGACTGAAATATGATACCTCTTTTTTCACAGTATCTAATTCTATTTACCAATAAAATATGCCTAAATATAGATTTTTAAAAGCCATTCTCAATTAAAAAATGAAACACTGTACATGCTACAACATAGATGAGCCAGGAAACATGCTAAGTTAATAGAAGCCAGTCACAAAAGGTCACATATTGTATGAATCTATTTATATGAAATGGCCAGAATAGGCAAATCCATAGAAACAGAAAGTAGATTAGTAGCTACTAGGAGCTGGGAGCAGGAAGGAACAGGGAATAACTACTCATGCGTACAGAGTTTCTTTTTGGGAGACAATGTTCTAAAATTAGACAGTGGTGACGGTTATACAACTCTGTTAACATACTAAAAACCACTGAAATGTATACTTTCAAAGAGTGAGAATTTTCTGGTGTTGTACTATATCTCAATAAAGCTGGATTTTTTTTAACTACTTTTACAAGAATTCAACCAAATAACATGTTTAGATGCAAGCTTTTAAATTCTGTGGCAAATTCTAAACTAAGGTAAAATTTAAAACTTCATTACGTAAGAAATATGTTACATCATGTTGCCACAAATACTAAAATAAAACATTCTACCTGGTAGTTGTCCTTGCTGAAGGCTCTCCATTTTCATGTAAGGCATCACCATTTTGCTGTATTTCTACTGAACAATAAGAAAAAAATAAACTAGGTTTTTATATACTTCTTGCTGATTCTTTTTCCTTTAAATTTTATAAACACATAAAGTTAATTAGCTTACTGGTTGGAGATGAGCTGCAGTTTGTTAGATTTTCTTGCTCAATCACCAATCCATCAAGCACAACTGTCAATTCACCAGTTTGCACTATGCCATTCTTGTTTTCCAAGGAAAGCTTTAATTGTTCTTTCACTCTTTCCACTAGAAAAAAGAATATCCTAATTTAAAAGCTTTTGCCACACACAAAAATGTTTAGAAATCAAAACTACATTTCAAGAATTACTCTAATTCAGTACTTGACAGCTACACTTGAAAGAAATTCTTTGCATTTTTATCTATAGACCCTTCTATACTATGCCAGAATGAATCCTTTTTACATCTAGTTAAGTAACTCCTCTTCCCCAACCCCACACCTTCAATATCATCTTTAATTGTCTTTGTGCATATTATAAACTTCAGATAACATATAAATATATCTAAATAAGTGCAGCAATTGCCTACACTTGCTCTTCAGTCCAAGGTATCACAGAGGACTCTTGCAGTTGAGACAAAATTTCAGCGTAAGAGTCAGGTGGCTTGAATTCTAGCTCTGCTACTTACTGGCTGTCCCTTAAATAAGTTACTCAAATTTTTTTAAGCCTCGTTTCATTACAAAATGGAGATGATAAGAGCTTCAAACTAAAAGGACAGTCTTAAGGACCAAACGTAAAACCACTCAGAAAGCACTAACATCACATCTGACACACGGTAAGTGCTCAATAAATGCTAAGTACTATGACAACAGTTTATTTTTTTATATATAAGGCCAAACACTTCCTTTCCATTATTAGGACATCTAGTTCTTATTTAAACTCAAGGTCATTTTGCTTCAAATTCTATCCTATAGAATATATACATAAAAGTTATTAGCAAGGCGGTTAGGCAAGTGGGAGATGACGATCAAAGGATACAAAGCCTCAATTGGACAGGAGGAATTTTTTTTCCTCGAGATATACTGCACAGTGTGATGAATATAGTAAATAACTACTGCACACTTCAAAATCACTAAGAGTCAGCTGGGCATAGTGGCTAACACTTATAATCCTAGCACAGTGGAAGGCTGAGGCAAGAGGATCATTTGAGCCCAGGAGCTCAAGAACAGCCTGAGCAAGAGCGAGACCCCCCTCCCCGCAAAAAAATAGAAAAATTATCTGGGCATGGTGGCATGTGCTTATAGACCCAGCTACTTGGGAGGCTGAGGCAGGAGGATCGCTCCAGCCCAGGAGCTTCAGGTCGCAGTGAACTATGATGACGCCACTGCACTCTAGCCCAAACGACAGAGCAAGACCTAGTCTTAAAAAAAAGAAAAAAATCACTAAAAATAAACCTTAAATGTTCTCACAGTAAAAAACATTTGAGGCGATAGATATGTTAATTAGCTTTATTTAATTATTCTCCACTGAATTCATAAATCATCACTATGTATCACATAAATATATACAACTATAATCTGTCAACTTACAATTAAAAAAATAAACGCTAAAGAAGAAAGTTATTAGTGATCACTTTATTATTCAAAATGAGGCTAATTACTTCAATGTGATCTTCAGCGGCTTTTTGAAGCTTTTGAAATCATGGAACATTTCACTTCTCAGATAAAGTCCTTGATTTTGATTTTTCCTATATTTAACAAATTTGGGGGTTCCCTCCCATTTACCAAACGTTCAGTATAAACATGTTAACTAATTATGCAAGTACAGAAAAGACCAAAAAAAAAAAATCTGGAGCTACTAATCATTGGACAGATACTCTGCAAAAAAATTTATGAACCATGTAATAAAAGACAACCTTATAGAATACTTACTCCAACTATTTGTAGCACCATAAACCTTGTTTCCACCCATTGAAAAACAACAATAAAAAGAATTAGAAAAACTAGGGGAAATATAAAAGTACCAAAAAAAAAAAACAACCTACAAAAACATGAATTTCAGCCTTACCTAATCTATATCTGAAGAAAACTATACTGACCAACATTCAATTTCATTCTTGTCATTTCCCACCATTTAAAGTGCCTGAAATTTGGTGATTTGGCTGTTTTTCCTAAAATATTTAGCTGAAGAGATTCCTAAAGAATAGCCTTTTAATCCTAGCACTCTGGGAGGTCAAGGCGAGAGGACTGCTTGAGCTCAGGAGTTCGAGACCAGCCTGACCAAGAGTGAGACTCTGTCTCTACTATAAATAGAAAGAAATTAGCCAAAAACAACTAAAAATAGAAAAAATTAGCCAGGCATTGTGGCGCATGCCTATAGTCCCAGCTACCCGGGAGGCTGAGGCAGGAGGATCGCTTGAGCCCAGGAGTGTGAAGTTGCTGTGAGCTAGGCTGATGCCACGGCGCTCTAGCCCAGGCAACAGAGTGAGACTCTGTCAAAAAAAAAAAAAAAAAAAAAAGAATAGCCTTTTAAAATCCTTTAGTATAAGTCTGTTAGTAAAATTCTTTCATTTTTTTGGTTTATCTGTAAATGTTTGCATTCTCATTGTTGAAAGACTTGTTGGACACACAATTTTAAATTGATAATCATCTCCCCCCAACTCTTTGAAGATATTTCCCCACTATCTTCTATTACTGGTAATTCTGTACTTCTAATTTATAAATCTGTGCAAATGACCTACTTTTCTCTATGAAATCAAATTTCTCTATGGCTGCTTTTAAAATCTACTTGTGTCTTTGGTATTAGGCATTTCACTATTATATGTCTAGGCACGACTTTCTCTTTGCAATCTTACTTGCGACAGTATGGATGTGTGGATTCATGTCTTTCATTACAGTTCAAAAACTTCCAGCCATTATCTCTTAAAGTATGTCCTCTATTCCACCTTCTGTTGCAGCGATTAGCAAATTATAGTCCGCAGGCCAAAATCTGGCCCATTATCTGATTTCGTAAAGAAAATTTTATTTGAACACAGCCATGCTCATTCATTTACATATCTCCTCTGGCCGTTTTCACACTACAAGGGCAGTTGATAGGTGCAACAGAGACTAAATGGCTTGCAAAGTCTAAATAATTACAATCTGGTCTTTTATAGAAAACCCCTGCTTGTGGTGGCTTGTTGCCTTATGTTCACTCTCTGAAATTAGTTTAAGGGTAATCTCTGGGCTTTACTATAGTCAGGCTTTATTCCTAATTTTACCAGTGATTTAATGGTACCGCCAAGAGTCTAGACTAGAGGAAAACAGGCTCAGTTCCCCTATCTGGCTGTTAGCCAAAAACTCAGCACCCTGAAAGCTATTATCAGTATGGCCCAGTATTCTAATTCTGGTTCATGAGGTGTTCTTTGCCACCTCCCCCACCCCGCCCCTTTTTTTTTGAAGGAGAGAGTTGCCTCTGCCTTTTTGCAAAATCATCAATGTCACAAAGATTTGTTCTATCCAGGACCTACCAGATTTGTTCTGCAGTGGGAGGTTGTTTACAGAATATAATCTTTTGTAATTCTGAACATGGAATATTGAGGTGTAACATTTTGAATAATAAAATTACAGGGACTATCAAATAAATAATCCCCATCTACTATGTGTGTGTATACATGCATGTTGCACGATAAGGGTACTATTCTATCACAAAACAACTCAGACATATTTATCCATTCAATCTTTGAGAGCCTACTGTGTGCCACGCATTGTAGCCGGGATCAAAGAGGATAAACCCTGACCAGCCTAAAGTAGACCTCCCTACCACCGCTTTGCTTATTTCCTTTAACGGATTTACCACCACAAGAAATTTTTTGTTTTTTTGTCTACCTTTCCAGATAAACTGAAGTCTCCAATAGGGCAGAAAGATCCTGTCCATCTAATTCAGTGATGTATGCTCAGTATCTGACAAAAGGTAGGCAACTTAATGGACATTTAAAATAAGTGATCAAGTTAGTCCTGTCCTCGGGGGATTCATTCGTATAAGGCAGAAGCTGACCTTTCCACCTCCTAGACATTCTTTCTTAGCTTTAATAGGGCAAGAGAACAATCTGAGTCTCTGAAGAGCTAGGTATATAACTAGATAATTTACCCTATAATCTGGATTTGTTGAAAATATACACACCCTTTCTGTCCCCATAGAAAACAAAAGATTTTCAAAAATTTTAGTTTTTAAGGTGCTTCATAGATTTATATTTAGCTCAGAGTCACATTCTGTAATTTTAAAAAGTTGCTTGAACAATGTATTAATTATCTATTGTTGAGTAACAAATTATCCTTAAAGTTAGTGGCTAAGAATAACAATAACTACTCATTATTGCTGATAGTTTCTGTAGGCTGGGAACTCAGGAGGGGCTCAAACGTGTATGAAGTTAGCGCTGGCTGTTGAGAGGAGACCTCAGTGCCTCTCCACTCTTTTCTCAAGAAGGGCTACCTAAGAAGCCTCACAATGGTGGCTTATTTCCCACAGTGACCAATATAAGAGACCAAAGCAAAAGGTGAAATGCCTTTTATGACCAAGACTTGGAGGTCGTATACCACCGCTTCTGCCATACTCTGTTCATCATACGGACCATCTCTGATTCAGTGTGGGAGGGGACTACACAAGGGTATGAAACACCAGATGGTACGAATGCTTGGGGGCCATGCTGGCCAACACACACATAAATAGGAGAAAAATAGGACTTTTAGACATAAAATGAGTGCATTAGGTTATATACCTTGTGACAGCCCAATAATCAGGTTTTCCAATTCCTAAGTCTTTCCATTACATCATGCTATGAGTCAATGTTCAACAACTCACGAACAAAGTTAAGCTCCCACTTCCTACCATGTAACAAAATAAATTTCAGATTGTATAAAAAAATTAAAGTAAAAATATACAGGTAAGAGTGCTTATAAATCAGTGAGAAAAAACTAAACAAACCAAAAAAAAATGAAGAACATGAGACAATTACAACAGATAAAGTATGAATGACTGATAAACATCTGACCTTATTAATAAAGAAATGCTTTGATAAGAAAAATCTTCACCCTTTTTATCTATTAATGTGGCAAATATTTCCAAACAGGCACTCTAATATGCTACACTGTGTACACAAACTAGTATAACCTTTTAGGAAGGCAAATGGACAGCTATGTATTGCTAGAGGCTTAAAACTTCTCATTCCTTTTGATCTAGTAATTTCAATACTAAAAATATTTCTAAAGAAGTAACAGAGATGAACTTATATCACTGGATATAAAAATACTG